TGGTCGAGTAAGGGTTGACGAAGCTGCTCCAGTGCGTGTGTGCTCAGGTTCGGGTGTGGGTCGCCAATGCGCAACGTTGGCTGCCGAGGTAAACACCCCTCCCTCTCTGACTCAGGGGGAGGGGCGTCTTGGGCAGTTGCCACTTATCCTTTAATCTGTTGGCGTAGAGGAGCTGTAATTATTATTTCTATTTATTTTAATTAACTTGGTTCAATATAATGGGTGGAGATGCTGCTTCTATGTATCCAGGGCTTAGTATTCATCTATATATATATTTGTGATTTGGGTTGAGTTAGTGAACAGTGTTCGAGGAAAGACAAGATAAACCTTTTAACAAACAACGCAAGCGGGACTCCTAAGCCGGGTCACGGTAACTACACACACACACACACACACGTTATCGCTGAGTAATTCCCCCCCCCCCTGCTTTTTCCTTTTTAATACACCTTATTGTTGGGGGAAAGAAGCCGGTGCCTCGTCCACACCATTGCACCTGACGACTTTGTCTTACATGGGTCAAGCGTTAGTTTTGATACAGATGATAACCAGAGAGTAGGTGGATAGTGCCGGATAACACCGGATAATACCGGATAATACTTAAGTCTGTCGTGTTTCATAGATTCAGGCTCGCCCCAGGCCCCAGTGTGACCCTACCACCCACCGTAGATTTACTCCGGGCGGGTACCACAGTTTCATTCTGTATTAACACTGGACAATGAAGGTCATAATGAAATAAAGAAGAACAGACCAACGGATATTAATCTGATAAATGGTGGTGAAAATGTAGTTACATAAAGGGCGGTGTTGGGAGAGAACAGGACAGCTTGTGGTGCGAGTGTCTGAGAGGCACGTGGTTGTGGAGGCGTCAGAGAGGGGCAGTGTCACTCAGCTCACCTCAGGTTGTCAGTATGTTAATCACTCGCCAGGATGATGATGTTATTTATATATTTTACACGATGGTTTCAGCATTCATTACCAAGATATTTGTCTTTCTGTCTGTATAACACATTCGGTAGGCTAATAAAGCGAGCGGCCTGGATCAGTGATGTGTATTGGTGTAGGACAAGTTGGTGTGTTGTGTATCAGTAGTTAAGACAAGTGACGGCATAGTGGTGTCACTTGTGGATGTGCATCGTGTTGTAGGGAAGGTATACAGGCAACGCCATACTGTAAATTAGAATAAACTGTGGCACTATGGAGTCGTGTATAAGTCCTGGGTGAACACAGGATCAGAGCCTACCGTCATCAGTCTCCACACCAGGACCTTCACTCTCCTCCTCACTAGTATGACACACACTGTGGCCTCCTGTGCTGCCAGTGTTTAGAAGAAAGTGAAGGAACTAATACATCTGCCTATTTATGGGAGGTACAGATCCTTGTCCAGTTGTATGTGTTCCTGGCCAGACCATTTATGTGCTGGGATGTGTAAATTAACTTCTTTATACCCTAAGTATAGATAACACAAGAACTGTACTATTACTGTAATGTTGATCTTCACCTTAATGTTGTCACTGAGGTAGATGGTATCATCTACAGTAGTACCTGAGGCTAACCTTTAAGATCCCGGACCCTGACGGTGCAAAGTGGATCCAGGCCGGCGTGGAGGGGAACCCCCACGAGTGTTGTCATTCACCTTGCTGTCTGTCTTCTTTCCTCCTCCCGCCGCCGCTGTCACCATCCTCAGCAGGTTCAGCCGCTCGCACAGTTTCTCCTTGAATGGAGAATTGATCTGAAGAAGGGTTTATTGTTTCTGTATTATGGAGAGTTGACTGAACCACTTGTGATGAAGGCTTCTCGTGTTCCTCTGCTCCACTAGATGATGTATTCAATCTCTGTTGTATAATAGTTAACCTTTCATCTTTAAATCTATTTTTATTGTATTATGTTGTATTTTTGCTTCTTGTTAACTTTAGTCCTGGACCATGTGGTTTTTGTTTGGATAACTTTATTTATTTATTTATTTATAATGTAAGAGTAAACATTGAATGTTAATAGTGTGTAGACTGATATATTCGCCTTAAATTTACTGCAAGAGTGAAAGTCAAGAGGCCAGTCATGTGTGTGTGTGTGTGTGTGTGTTTGTGTGTGTGTGATAAGAATAGGAAAATTGTGTAGTGTACCACTTGGCGATCACATGGTGTACTCTTGCCAGCCAACTGCGGCCAAGATGTCTGATGACGCATTGCTGACGTCATATGGGAATTAATGCCTGACGCTGCTATCGAAAACGTGTATTTGTTGTGTCTGGAATTTAGCGGATTATGACAATATGGTCGTGGCATTATCTCAGATGGTTGATGATGTTTCTTCGTCCTGGCATTGTGACATAGTTGTTGAAGGGTTGAGCAACTCTATGAATCTATGGCGTGTCACTGTGTACCACTGTCGACATGTTTACTGAGAATCATTTAGTAATGCTCTTATTTATAGGAATATTAAATGTTTCCTAAAGCTGCAACAGTTATATAACCTACAAGTGGTATTACATTATGAGTGTCTACTAACATACCCTTGTGAAGCTGATATTTACTATTTCTGTTATATTGATATTATTATTTTTTTGTAGGTTAAAACTGGGAACTCGGCAGCGTGGCAAATTAAGACCAGTTCCCGGTAGTGGGCCGCAAGAGTGGTGGTGGTGCGTCTTGGGATATCTGGGGAAACTTTTTGAGAGAGAGAGAAGGGGGGGGGGTTGTGAGATATATATCACAGACCCTCCTCCTCCATCTTGTAACCTTCACTGTCAAAATAGGAAGTTGGTGGAGAAGCTGACCTCAGATAATCCCTTAATAGTGGGTGGGTGGGTGGGTGGGTCTGAGGGCGCTGCCGGGTGGGTGGGTCTGAGGGCGCTGCCGGGTGGGTGTGGCTTGTTACATTACCTTTGTCGTTGTCAGGGAGTAATAACATCATGTTGGTCGCACGTTAGGTCTCGTGTATCTGGATACAGTTAATACATGATAGCCTTTACAGTATTGTCATTAATGATGTGTGTAAATGTATTAATGTCTTAGTACTTAGTTCATATGTGGTGAATTGTGTTGTGTTGGGTGAGATATGTAGTGTGGTGAGGTGTGCACTAGAGTAGAGGGGTGGTGCACACTAGAGGTGTGGTGTACACAAGAGGGGTGGTGCACACTAGAGGTGTGGGTGGTGTACACTAGAGGGGTAGTAAGGCGGCAGGTGGAGAACAATGACCAGGGTCGGGAAGCCTTTAACCTACCCTAATTGTTACTAGGGGGACTCTACTGCCAACGAGAGTCTTCCTGGCTCTATCTGCCCACCTGGCCCCATACTCCTGCCCCTCCCTCTCACATGCCCAGCCTCTCTCAGCTGTGACACTCCTGCCCTTCACACCTGCCCAGCCTCTCTCAGCTGTGACACTCCTGCCCTTCACACCTGCCCATCCTCTCTCAGCTGTGACACTCCTGCCCTCCACAGCTGCCCAGCCTCTCTCAGCTGTGACACTCCTGCCCTTCACAGCTGCCCAGCCTCTCTCAGCTGTGACACTCTTGCCCTTCACAACTGCCCATCCTCTCTCAGCTGTGACACTCCTGCCCTTCACAGCTGCCCAGCCTCTCTCAGCTGTGATAACCAGATGTGACTTTCGATAAAGTATAATTTTAATCTCCGTACGTGTCAGTTGTGTTGTGATTCAGACTATCCACATCATGTTAATTAATATTTTTCTACGGTTTTGAATTTGATATTGACCATATTTTTTTTTCTCATATTAATCCCCTTACAAATGTGACTCCTGTTTTTACCAAATAAGGATAACTATGGAAGCCACGTCACATTACAGTCATCATTTACATAGAAACCCACCAGCCTCAGACAGTCCAAGCGTAATGTATTGCTTGTTGAATTTATCATAAAACTATCACTATCACTCCTGTAGATATACCATTATTGACTAGAGACCAAGACTAAGCTGAAGCAAAGGCTCTTCCTGGAAATTAGGACCTAACAGCTTTGTTGACTAGACAGAGAGTTTTATATCTCATAATTTTTAATTGTTGATGTAATAGTGTAATTACTAACCTTGTTTCACACTTAAGGACCTTAGTTGTTGAAGTGCAGTAATAACATTATAGCAACAACAAAAATGTGGGCTATTCTTGTTCAAATAAGCTAGGGTGGAGATTCTTCAGGTGATCCAACCAATGCACTGCACACACTTACTCTAAAATATACCCAAAGTTTGTGTATAATATCAATCAGGGAAATTCATTGTGATACAGTGAGGTCACGGGATAGCTGAAGCCGTCTTATTATACAGTATGTAGAAACACATGTGTTTGTTAACTCTGAATATATTTACAAGTTAATACAATACCAACACCTGTGGTCATCAGTTTGTGGCTTCTTGACAAAGGAAGATGTACACAAATGAATGAGTTCTTTAAACTTCTCAACAATTTCATCTTTGCATCACTTATGACTGTTTATCACAGCTCCCTTGTGGCATTCACTGTGGCTCTATGTAATGTCTCCTTTTCACACAGCAGACACAGATGCTGCTCATCCATAATAGTTGCTGTGAACAGTTTAAGAATCTGTCAGCAATCAGCATCACTTCATCCTAACATAAGAACATTGTTTATATTACATCTATGGTATTCAAGGCCTCTCAGTAACATCTCACATACAATACAGTATATGAAGTTATCAGGTGACCGGGAACAAATTTTAATAGGTATTTATCAAAAACTTCAGTTTTATATTTACAGTACGTGAGTGTTTAATACATTGTTCTCATCTAAATGACCTTTAGTTTTGATTATATTAGTTGACCTCTTAAGCTGTGACGTCATTTCAGAGACAGCAACAAAACTCTCGTAAAATACTGTGGCTTTTAGTACTGTATGTTCCTCCATAAGTTCATAGGAAGGTGGGCAACAACTTCCATCTCTCAGAGTGTAAGAGAGAGTGTAACCACCAGTCTACTGTACAGTTTATACATCTCACAGTGTCATTAACTATACACTCCTCTTGGACAGGTCTGAGTCAGGTGGGGCTGGCTGACTCATGGTTGGAAGATCCGCGAGCCTCGGGGGGCATCCAGCAACAGATGGGCCCAACCAAGGCTGATATGACCTTTTATGAGGATGATCAAGACATGGATGATTTGGATGATGATGAGGCTGACCATCATGTTGGACACTGTGTTCAAGGTAGGAGTCTTCTCACTTTTATTCAACCATAGGGTACTGTATAGGTGTATATTGTATAATAAACTTTCACAGCTTTGGGCAAATGTAGGGGAAGGCCCAACTTAAAAGGTAAATATTCTGAAAAGAAAGAGAGAGACAGAATGTTTGTATGTTTCTTATTACATTTTCTATACCCAGTACATACAGTATATGAGAGAGAGAGAGAGAGAGAGAAAGAGAGATTAGACTTTATTTATTATTTGGCTAATCATCAAGACCGATTACAAGGTTCTAAAAAAAAAAAGGTAGAATGTTTCATCATGAAAGTAAGAGGCCTAATGTAATACCATATTGTATACAGTAATCATAAAATCTCTATACAGTGCCACTTCCCATTTTGGTTTAGTTTACCTCTTAGAGATTCTTAGATTTATCTGGGGGAAGTATGTAGCTAGTTTTGTAATTGGGAAAGATACATTTTGTTGTTGAAGGTGTTGGCAGGTGAGTACAGTTCATGTACAGTAATGAAGGTGTCGTTCTTTTAAGGTCAAAGGAAGAAGTCTGGATCTGCTTTGGATTTGATGGCCATGTGTGAGGAAGTGGAGCTGGAAGAAGCACGTGCAGGTGGACTTAGCATGTCTGGGGATGACAGTAGACCCATGAAGAGGGTGCAGATTAAACTTGAACATGGAACTGGTGTCACAGATTCACAAGTCCAGACCTCCGTTGAAATTCCTACTTCTATGAACAGTCACCTTCACCAACAACAAGCTCATCAGTCTACTGCCGAGTTCCTGACAACCCAGGAGGAGGTGGTTATCCATCAGGAGCCCATTGAGATGCACGAAGACCATAGATCTCACGGAACAAGAACGGTCAGTATAAACCATGATGAGGATCCATTAGCACAGGCTATAAAAGTGACTCAAGCTAGTGAAGACATAGGGGATCAAAATATGTCCGGCATCCTGACAACCTCGGGAACTCTGGTGAGAATGGGGACTAGTCAGCATGCTTCCACATCTGTTCAAAACACAATAGTAAGTCAAGTAGTCATATGGGATTATTTCAGGGTTAACACTGAAGGTCCCCCCCAAAATCTGAGTTTTAAAGGATTTTTCTGAAGTACAGTAGTACTGTGTCTGTACAGTACGTATTGATGAAGCAGTTTAATTAGTCTCAAGAATTGTTATCCCGGGAACTTATATTTGATCCTCTTTGTCTCTCTGGCTGTGACTGTGTGTAGATGATTGAAGGTGGGGGAGAATGTTGGTGGTGAGGAAGACTGATCAGCCTAGCCATGATCACCAGGTTTACAAGAACACTTTACATCAGGCCACATATGCACCTACATACATCAACCTGCATGATGATGTTTTGCACCATGTAACTGTAGTTCATCATGATTATCCCTGGTACAGGGGGCCCCCAAGTTCACGGATGACACCCTGGATGTACCGAAGAATGTCTGTGGGTAGTTTTAAAGTTGCTGGCATTTTCGTGGCTGGGACAGGGAGCCATTCGTTCTAGAGACAGTAATTTCCTTTACCTGTATTGTAAATATATGTGTGTGTGTGTGTGTAGACACACACACACACACACACACACAAAACACAAACAAATAAATAATAATGGGAAAATACTCACAAATAATCAGAAACGAATTTATTACAAATGTGACAGTGTACCCTCAAGTCCGTGTTTTATTAATAAAGTAATAAAGCACGGACTTGAGGGTAGACTCACATTTTTAATAAATTTTTTTCTGATTATTTGTGAGAGTATTGTCCCATTATTATTTATTTGTTTGTGTTTTGTGTGTGTGTGTGTGTGTCTACACACACACACACACACACATATATACAATACAGGTAAAAGAAATAATTGCCCTAATAGCAAACACAAAGGGAATATACATTTCCTTGTACACAAGTAAAAATGTACATCCCCCAGGTCCTCACATGTTTTTCGCGGATTTGGGGGACCCCCTGTATTACATTGTTCTAACACCTGAAGACTACTCTGTTATTTTATTTAAGTTAAGTTATTGCTAAATGCATGAAGCACAGGTAATGTGATGAAAGTAAGCTAGCTGCGCCACCACATTACCTAAAAGTTGAGGCTACATGACCACTATCATCACCACCAACCTCTGTCTTCAAAGATTATATGAGCAGAAAGTACTAGTTTGTAGTGTTGTTAGGTTAGCTCAAAGACATCATCATCATCTTCATTTTACGGCAGTTTCCTTAACCCAGATTTACAAATGCACCTCAGTTTGTTTACCTTGGCATATTGGTACTGTATTTTGTGTTGTGTGTTCCAGGTTGGTTTAATACTCTACCTGTGTGTTGAACAGCACTGTAATGTAGGTTTAAGTTACTGACATGTAGATTATAATTATTCAGGAAATATATCATTGAATCTTTGCCTGATCTTTATGGTTTGTCTCCAGAGCTGACTGTCAGATGTATGAAGTGATGCAAATAGTTAAATAATATCAACACATACTATTGTATACATTATGCGTGAAAGGTAATTTGTAGAATTTTTTGTAACCATTTTTTAATTTGAACTTTAATGAAAATGTTTCCAACAGGAGGATGGTGGCTTGATCCTTCTTGGGCTGGCTGGAGGAGAGTCCCAAGGTCGTGTTTATACCGCAGGATCATCTCAGTCAGTGGCCACTACTGCCTCAGAATCCTTACGACCAACCGCTCCAAAACGCCTTCGAAAATATTCAAAGCAAGATCTTATTGTAAGTTCATAGTCTACTCTTGTAAATCTTTTGCTCTTTACAGATAATACTCTTTCACATCTCTTGTTTGTATTAGAGACACTACTGCACTGGCAGACAGTAGGTTGCCTCCTCTAAGAACCTGTTTTAAATATCATAGTCATACTGTATACATGACACTCCAGCTCTGTAAGAAAATGAAGAGTGGGGGTGTAGTGCCAAGATTAGGTAGCAAGCATTACAGAATAGTAATATTCCATTTCAGCTGATCTTCCCAATGAGTTTGGTGGTCTCACAATACATCAATTGCAGTCACAATTATTGTAAATTTTGGAGCTGCTGTACCTTACTGATTTCATTTCTATGTTTTATATAAATAATGGTTTGTTTGATTGTATAAATCAATAATATACTTTTTATTGTGTGTAAACACTGTCAATAGGATTAAATAGATGCAAGTAGCATATGCTTACAACTTAACCCTCTCGTGGTCTTTCAACGCAAATTGCGTCGCAAAGCACTCCCATGCTGACGTAATCCCTCCTGCTCAGCTGCATCTCTCACTGAGAGCACCCCTCATGTAAACAGAAATGCGGGAACAGTGGACCAGCTCTATCAACCACTTAAGTTCCTCCCTCTAGCCTTGTAGACCGGCAGATGCATCTCTAAGGGTGCAGTTTGGGTCTGGGTTGCTCTACCCAATGTTTTTTAAAATGGAAAACCATTCCCGTTACCGACGTAACTTGCGTCAAATGACTGTGAGGAGGTGAGATTTCTGACCATGGCTAGGAGTACCAGAGGGTTAATGCAATTTATTCTGTTAAAATATATTTTCTGCTTTCCTGGCATCATTTGTGTATTTTCTGTTATACTAAAGCTTTATTTACAGCTTACTGTGTTAAAAATATTCTATTGGAACATATTTTTTATTTTTCTGAAACCATTTGTTTCATCTCTGCTACTTTAAAGCCATATATATTTTGACCTCTGGGCCCATTAGCCTCACTTGTTGGGGAATTGATCCTAGGCCTTATTTAATGCCTTGCTCATTTACTGTGAAATACATTTTTATTTCTTATATGTCATGCACTTAGAATTGTGCAGAATGTTTTTTTTATTTACAATATAATATAAAAAATTGGGCCTGATAGCCCCAATTTGCAGTAGTGACCACATTGTTTTTACACAATACATGGGACGTATACAGTATTACTTTGCAGACTGCACTGAATTTGATCCGAGATGGGCACCTTGGAATTAAGCCAGCTGCCCGAGCCTTCAACATTCCCGTGGCTACACTTTACACTGCTACCAAAAGGCATGATATCTCCAGCCCCATGCAGCAGGTAACAGAGAAAACTCCAAATGAGGCAATCAAGAAACATTCTGGGTGAATAGAGGTGAGAGTAGACCTGTAGGCAAAGTGTGGCAGAATATCTCAGTGAAGCTGGACACAATAGGGATAATACAATATTTTATACAGGGAGAAATCTCCTAAAATGTTTAGCAATAAAATATTATTATGGATTAATTTTTCATTATAACATTCATGGTTCTATCGATACATGATTAATATATGCTCAGAATTACTGATGAAATATTGAACTATTTTAGCGTCCTTCACTATGATCTTTATGTAGACCATTTTCGGCATGTACAGTATTTTATATCACTTACTTTAAAGCTGCTTCATCTTTCCTTAAGGTAATACTATTAAATATAGAATATACTTTATATTTACTCAATGAAAAGTTTCAGTATAGATCTTACTACTGTATCTTACAATGTGACAGTCATTGTGCATCTCAGTACAGTACAGGTATAATAAATAAAGTTAGTACGGTAATTTTTCTTCATGGTAAAGATTATCATCAGGCCACTTGTGAAATCACTATTGAGAATTTACCTTGACAGAGTCTAAATTTTAGAGGGGACAATCAGGGTTCTTTACATGAAGCAGGTACACCATCCATTCAGAGTAAGTTATGCAAGAATGTGAAATTACACAAATACTGTACTGTACTGTATATACCATTACCCTGTATCTTGGTTACCTGTACTGTACTCTATGCATCAACCATGGCTACCATGACTCGTGGGCTGTCTGCTCTTTCATATCACCCAGTACATTCCTACACCACCACAACTTAGCTAACTCATTTTTTAACTTGCAAAAGTTAATATATTTCTGCAACAATAATAATGTCAATGACTGGCCATTTTTTTTTAGAAAATTATTGAGAATATTCACCAGCTGGTCACATGATCACTGCAGCCGTTAGACATGTTTTGACTTGGTTACTCTCAAGACATTTTTGATGGACAACACTGCATTTTTAAAACCTTTTTTCTAATGATGGAATGACTGTTAAAGTGAGAAAATTAAATATGTCTTAACTGTTTCATTTCTAAGAGAAGCATTGAATATTTTCTGTAGATGGCAGCACAAATGGGCATGTCATCTACTACCAGATATTTCAAATTACTGTACAGTATTAATATTTAATATTTTATTAACTCCTGTGAATTTTTGTAGATGCCAATATGAAATATGCAAATAATCAAAAATTACTGTACAGTACTCGATTGACTTGCTGGCTTTTTAAAGCATCACCGAACCAGGAATGGAGTTTGCTTCATAAACCCTAATTTGGCTGGACTCTTGGCAGCTTACAGCATTTACGCTCAACTCAATGGACATTATATCAGTCTCAAGAACACATATATCCCCTTGAACTTGACAATACAATTTGTGTCGGAGTGTTCTGGCTGGTGATCTCGCATGTCACTTCACTTCTCTGAGGCTCGTTTTTTTTTTTAGTTCTCAAAGCAAACTTGCCTTATACTGTACTGTACGCATTTTTTTTTTTTTATCCTCTTCACCACTGATCGGCTGGTTAGTTGCTGGGGGGTCAGTCACGTCTCTGTTACACACCGTTGGCAAGTACTGGGCATGTATGGTACTTTCTCCTACCTGTACCAGTGTTGGTCAAGTCTGGTCGTGAATGAGCTCACACTCAGTGCTGTCACAATGCTTTCTCACAGATTGTTGCAAGACTTTACAATTTTCACTCCAAAAAAGTTTGCCCTGACAATTTTACAAACTTGTGGCTTCTTCAACCTTGAGCTGTGACCCCTAGTGGCATGGGCGTTTGCGAGCTCCAGGTATGAACACTCAACTGAGTAATGCCCTCTGAGATGTTTAGAAACTTCATTTGAGTCACTCCTTGCCCGCCTATAGTATAAGCTAGGCAATTGCAGGCGTTCAAATCTCTCAGGGTAACTGAGGTTCCGTAGTGCAGGCACCAGTCTGCTAGCCCTCCTTTGGACATTTTCAATCAACTGACAGTCTCTAGCATATCTCGGGGACCTGACAGGATGGCAGAAGTCCAAACGGGGAAGCACCTCACTCTTGAAGAGCATTATGAGAGAGACATCATCTAGATAGCTGAACGATGGCAAGTAGCCATAAAGGAAAACGATTCCACAAAAAGTTTGAAGTAGGTTTTTCTGAAATGTTCAAATGAAAGAAGTTTGGTACTATGATGCACATAATATTATTATTATTACAGTACAGTACTATAATCAAAATTAGTACAGTAGGGGCAATAGTTGATATTTGTTATAGTTGTTAGTATTAATAGCAGTATTTGTAGTTATTAGTAGTACTAGTACAGGCTGACCTCGCAATTTTGTGCTAATTGGTATCCCACTGTGGCCGAATTTCTGAAAGGCACGAATTTGTGGAATAAGCATTAAAAGTGTAGGAAAATTTGCTATTAATTTTCTAAAAAGCTAAATTTTTATTGTTTCCACTTACATTCCAATTCTACATTTATTAAACAGTTCTTTAACACTTATTCCCCTCTATATAAACGATGTAATTCAGAGTTAAACAATTTAGTGAGCACAAGGTTAGCCAAATTTGAATAATAATAAAATTGTATACACCTAAAATAAAAAAATATATAAAATGCTGTGATTAACAATAAAATTAATACCTAACATATCATGAAATACAAGAACACACATATTATGTACAAAAAATAGCTTCTTCCACACTCAAACCATCCTGTGGGCATCATAACTCAGTTCAGCCAGGCAGTCAACCAGCTGACTCACAGAGGTGTGGCTGCTGCCTCGTTGCGGGGAGGGAGAGCAACCCAGTTGCAGCCCACCTCTTCCACACACATACACACCCATGCTCTTCATTTTTCTCATTTTATAGTTTTATATTATATTTTCTTTATTTGTAAGCCAGATCATTTATACTGCATAGTAGAGTGGAATAAATGTTAAAGAAATCCATTTTTCCAAAATTTCATGCATTTTCATGAGCATTTAAATTTAAAAAAAATCTCAATTGAGCTCAGACAAGCGTAATATACAGTTACAGGTATTGGGAAACGCTCTGGAAAATGTGCGGATTTGCGGAAAAATTAACTTCTGAGATGTGAATTTGCAAGATCAGCCTGTAGTAATAGTACAGGTACTGTAGTGGTACTTGTAGTTAGCAGTAGTAATAGTACAGTACTTTAGAAGTGCAGTACTATTTGTAGGTTGTAACAGTAGTAGAACTTTGTGAGGGATAATTTATTGATATCATGTAAACAGAAGATGGGTTTGAATTTAAAGTGAGTTTTTTTAATTTAGTTCATACAGGTTAGTGTTTTTGTCTTGGTAATAAAATAATGAAGTTTCAACTGCATAATTTAAATGTTCTCTCAGTGTTATACATGTTGGCAGTTGTATAATTGTAACCTGAAGTTGTACTTTATGCAACTTGAGGATTTATTGCAGGTATTTTAAATGTGTTATGGGTAAGAGAATTAAATCAATTGTCTCTTCTTCAGGGAGCTAACAAGGAAGCTTGGAGGAGTAAAGGCTCTCTCCTTGTTAGCACTGATGGTACACATTTCCAGTGTCTGTCAACACGCTCACCCTCGCTGCCTGAGTCAACAGAAGCTGACAATATACCTCACTCGTAACGTGACACAAGCCAGTAGTCATCACCCACATTGCTAGTCAACAGCTTCACATCATCTTTATACAAACAAGATGTGAGAATCAGTAGTCTTATTTACTCTTATATATATATTTGTTACATTACTGTATTCCTTTTTTATGACTGTGAATTGATAATGAATTCAAAAGACATTTGTTTATAATATCAGAATAGAAATACAGTATATTTAGTTGTACAGTAATAAGAATATGCAACACATTATTCAGATAACAAGAGATGGAATGTCCTCCCCATTCTCTCTCACTTTCCTTCCTTCTTGTGGTGAGTCTTTAGTGGTGTAATAGTGTTGTGAGAAGACAGGGGGAGTGTGGTTGGGAAAACATTTTGATCTGTGTTCTGATGTCATGAAGTACTGTGAGGGGTTCAAGTGTAAGGTTTAACAGGTTCAGGTGTGGATGAATTTGAATTTTTCTGATATATATATACAGTGGTCCCTCGGTTAACTAGAACAATCCGTTCTAGAAGGTTGCTCGTTAACCGAAAAACTCGTTAACCGAAACCATTGTTTCAATGGGTTTTTGGGTAATTGGTTCCAGCTCACCGAAAATTGCCTAAATTCAACAAAAAAGGTAGAAAAGTATACTTTGAGGTGTGTATGTAGAAGGCTCCTGGATGATAATGATGATGATGATGGTGATGGGAATTAGAATGGGGGTGGAGGAGAAGGGAGAAGAGAAGGCATTGGGGTGGAAGAAAAGTCATCCCATGGCACCATTTCACCCATAAAATTTTAGTTCTCTTGATGTAATTCAAGATTATTTTCTTTAAATCAACACTGCACTGCATTATATATTGTCAACATGTAAAATAAATTTCAAAATGACCAATAATTTTCTTGCAATCAAAGAAAAAAAAAGTTTAGTTGAAGAGTCTCAAGCAAGATGTTACCTCCACTGAAAAGACAGAGAGAGTGGCGCCTGTTTGGTGTGTTGCCAGGCTGGATGGCGTGCATAAAACTAGTTTCTTTACCTTCAATTATGTTCAATAATTGTTAAAATGACTAAAAAATTTAATATTAAACTTTTAAAATTATTGAATAGTATAAACTTCTTGATATTTACTAAAATGGTAAGGAATATAAGCCCTTGAACCGATTACTGTATTGGCGGACTAATACTACAGCTGGTGGACCGCCAAATGCAAACGAAAACATGTTGAGGTCGGCTCGTAAGAAACTCGTTAATCGGGGGATTGCTCGTTAACCGAAGTTAAAAATCTTATGGAAGGCAAGTCGTTAACCGAGGGACCACTGTATATATATATATATATATATATATATACTGTATATATACTGTATATATATATATATATATATATATATATATATATATATATATATATATATATATATATATATATATATATTCAAGACATCTTCAGAGATGTCTTGAATATATATATATATATATATATATATATATACTGTATTCTCAATATTCACAATGCTGTTAATACAATATTATATTTTAAATTCAAGTGGAACTTTGTTTGGATGAAAAACATCATAAAAAAAAACAATTGTTTCAAAGCAAAGAAAATTTTAGTTGATGTAATAACTTAATGATTGATATTTATAACATACTTTGTTATTTTACAAAAGGTCTTTGTAATACAGGTAGTGCTAAAAAAATCTGATGGCAGCTAAACATCAGATAAACAGGTCTAGACATCTGCTGAATTATGCTAGACTTAACTTGAACCAAACTAGATGTTGTATTTTAATAATTATATAAGTTATTTGTTAACATCGTAGGCTTATCTTTGAGTGTAAGAATTCTTCTGCACATTATTTTGTATACACATATATACTGTATCTACTGTATGATATATCCATGCAACATGAGAAACCTTTGACATTTATTTTTTGAAATAATAAATATACTGTATATAGTATCTCTTACTAATTAATGACTACGAATTGACACTGTGCAGGTGGTAGGGTGTGTCAAACATGAAATGATTACTTGGACTTCACCAGTTAGAATTTTTGAGACCACATTAATAAACTTAATGATTGAAGATGTTTTTAAAATTTTTGCCTTTTATATATACTGTATACTGTATATAGTATAGCATGTCTGACCTACTACTACTACAGAAAGCCTTCATCACTGTGAGTTGATTGGAGGAACTGAGTCACAGAGTTTGGATACATAATGGTTTGCAGCTATTACAGTACAGTGCCCTCATATGTCTATGAAAAATAATTACACAGATATTATATTAACATACAGTGAAACCCCCATATAACGCACTTCTATCTCTATACAATCTATTAGATGGGAGTCTCATATCTAATGGACCTTCGATATAACAGACCTTCACATTAGAGGTTCACGGCGCCATAAGCTCGTTGAACAGGCTTTGTGTGAAATATAACAGAGTCTAGGACTGCTTTTAGTATCCTGGTGGTCCAGAGGTTAGCGTTCCCCGGTCACAGTCATGGGTTCGAATCCTGGCGGGGTGAGGTGTTGATTGTATGTAGAAGTCCACGTGCTTTATTGGGTCACCTTACCCTGTGACCTGACTACCGACCGTTGCCGTGCTATTTAAAGATTAGTAGGGTCATTACCTAATACCTGACCATTGTGGACCTGGTCTCACCCTCCTCTGTATATATACACCTTGTTTTGTACTTCTCTTTAGTCTGTACTCACCCCTGAAGATGTGAATTACACGAAAGCGCTTGCGAACTTCGTGTTTTCTTCTTTCCTTGTGGATATCAGCATATACCTAGATCACGCGCACCTACAGTGATTTACTTGCATATAAAGTGACCCCTCGGTTAACGAACTCAATCCGTTCCAGAAGGTCGTTCGTTAACAGAAAAGTTCGTTAACCGAAACCATTGTTTCAATGGGTTTTTTGAGTAATTGGTTTCAGCTCACCGAAAATTTCCTAAATTCAACAAAAATGGTAGAAAAGTTCACTTACTTTGAGGTGTGTATGTAGAAGGCTCCTGGATGATGGGAATTAGAATGGGGGTGGAGGAGAAGGAAGAAGAAAAGGCATTGGGGTGGAAGAGAAGTCACCCCATGGCACCATTTCATCCATAAAATTTTAGTTCTCTTGGTGTATTTCAAGATTATTTTCTTTAAATCAACACTGCACTGCATTATATATTGTCAATATGTAAAATATATTTCAAAATGACCAATAATTTGCTTGGAAACACAGAAAAAAAGCGTTTAGTTGAAGAGAGTCTCAAGCAAGATGTTACCTCCACTGAAAACAGAGAGAGACTAACGCCTGTCTGGTGTGTTAACAGGCTGGATGGCACGCCAGAAACTAGTTTCTTTACCTTCAATTATGTTCAATAATTGTTAAAATGACTAAAAAAGTTAATATTAAACTTTTAAAATTATTGAATAGTATAAACTTCTTGATATTTACTAAAATAGTAAGGAATTTAAGCCCTAGAACCGATTGATGTATTGGCAGACTGATACTAAAGCTGGTTGCCCGGTCAGTGCAAGCGAAAACATGTTGAGCTCGGTTCGTAAGAAATTCGTTAACCGAATTTTTGTTCGTTAACCGAATTGAAGATCCTTATGGAAGGCAGTTCGTTACGTTGTGTTCGTTAAACGAGGGGTCACTGTATATATATATATATATATATATATATATATATATATATATATATATATATATATATATATATATATATATATATATATATATATATATATATATATATATATATATATATGTGTGTATATTATCCCTTGCCCCCCTTCTGCGGACGCCCATGAGGGCAGAATTGTAACTTTCGTTACGGGGAACTTCTGGTCTGCCTATACGCGGACCAGAAGTTACCTAGTGGGCGGTAACTCTTGGTATGCTGTGACGTCATCAACTGCGCATGTGCAGTTATCGTTTCGGCTACTTCTGGTCCGTTGCACCGGAAGAAGTACCAGAGAGGAGCCCAGAATTATATACTGATGTAGTGGATACCTCCCCTACAAACGCTGTTTGCCGCTGAGTAGCCGACCCCGCGAATTCCCCAGTGTATGCCTCGTGGTCTAGGTCAACCAGCGCCGCCTTACATGACGGAGGTCAACTATTAAGCCACGCCTACCTCCGCTACATAAGACCTGACCTCGTGGTGACCTATCTTTCTATTCTACCCACACCAACCAGCAAGCAATACCTCCTCCTCCGCCGCTGCCTGGCGGCCCTCGCTCCCGCCGGCGAGCATGGTGACCCACAAGCTGTCCTCCTCTGAGCACCCTCACCAACCAGCTCTCTCTACTCAACGCTTGTAACCATGCTGCCTTCCCAGCACCAACCTGCATTGTACATCCAATACAATATGTATACAGAGAGCACATTGTGAGTTTCCTTTCTCCATCCCATCCTGAGTGTGAACCAAACATCACGTACCCCACACTGTATACTAACTGATTTGTTTCCAAAGACCTGGAGCTGGAAAATCAATCTGTTTTTATGCATGTCTATATTTTGTTGATTTAAGACCATATTAAACGTTTACATCATCCAATTTATAAACTGAAACTCCCAAATCTATTAGCCTGAAATTTGTAAATTGCAATAAAGTTATTCAAAACCACATAGTGTGAAATATTTACTTGAAGTGCAATGTTTGTGTGACGGAATAACATACTTATGCAATGAGATGCAACAATTTTAAAGCCTGCATTGATTTTTCAATTTCACTGCACTTTCCTACAAGATTTACATAATTTTGTTTGTAATCATAGATAAAGCTAAAATGAATGGTAAATATAGCCTACAACTAGGTATGGATTATCACTTGAATTGGGTGTAAGTAATCTTGGGTACGACTTATCTTGTGAGTTAGGTACGAGTTATCTTGGGTACGAGTTGACTTTTTGGGGTACGATTTATCTTGGGTACGAGATGACCCTAACCCTAGGGTTAAGGGCCGTACTAACGCCGGTTGAGGAAGTGGTGTAGATGATTGGAGGCAACGAGAACGACTGCATGAAGATGGTGTTGCAACAAACCAGAATGTGGGCCAAGAAGTGAGTTGCCAAATTTTACCCAAGAAGCGTGTGATCCGCTATGTACGGGTCTGACTAATTACCCAAATGTACCCAAATGTAGACGCAATGAAGTCAAATAATGGTCCTACATGAATAAATCGGACTGCCAAGCACTTCTCGACTATTATTTGGTGTCACAAAGTAAAAAAAAAATGGAAAACGTAATTTAATTTGAGTTAATAGATCGCTTGCATGTACCGAGGGAAAGAGTAATTACCCAAATGTAGCCGCAATGAAGTCAAATAATGGTCGTACGTGAATAAATCAGGCTGTGAATCACTTCTCGACTAGTATTTGGTGTCACACAGTCACAAAAAATTGGTAAACTTAATTTAATCTGAGTTAATAGAACAAGTGCATGTACCTAACCTAACCTAACCTAGCACAACTCAGATTAAATAAGTTTACCAATTTTTTGTGACTTTATGACACCAAATAATAATCGAGAAGTGATTCACAGCCTGATTTATTCACGTATGACCATTATTTGACTTCATTGCGGCTACATTTGGGTAATTAGTGGGACCGTCTATGTACAGTAGTTGCTGCCTCACAGTTGATGCTGCAGAGGACATTCGTTAATCTTAAATCAGTGTTGGCATAGGGGATGGTAATATGTTGCAGCCATTGACTTTAATTACACAAAAATCTGGATACTACCTAATATGTAACACTTAAAGAATAATAACAATCATTCCTGAATCATCAACTCATAATCGCTGCGTCTAATGATCGCTGGTAAATTATCCTTAGGAAAATTATCATATAAATATATGAATAAACTTTGTTGACATGTACTATTATTCTTTTATATAAGTGATTATAATATATTTTATATAATTATATTTCTTTATAAGATGCTTAAATGTAGGTAATGGGAAGAGGGTAGCTGGCACTGGTTCGCTGTGTTCAGTGTTCCTCAAGTGTAAACAAACAGTTGTGGCACTGAAGGAGTTGACCCTTTACCTCAAGCAAGATATGCCAGATAATGCCACCAAGAGGACCAGTACAGTTGCCTTCATAAGTTTGTGGACCTTCGCCACCGTAATAGTTGCTGGAGTCATGTTTATTGGTGGAGAGATTGGTTAGTGTGGAGAGTTATGCCAGGCGTCTCGTTCCTACTATTAAACATTTATCAAGCCTAGTTCAACACACACACACCTGTAGAACACAAGATAAAATGATAGTAATCTGGAGTCGCTAAATGTATTAGTTTTCATATATAATGAATATATATTGTAATTCTCCCGCTAGGAAAGTCGTGAGACAAGTTGGAATGAAGGAAAAAATGACAATAGCTAAATTAGGAGTAAAGTGGCACACAATATATCACATATTAAGGGGAAAGGGGCCAAGTTAACCTAATCTAACCTTATGCTAACCAAACTTAACTTAACCTATCCTAGCTTAACCTGGCCCCATCCACCAGTACAGACATCCCTCAGCTTAGTAGCTCAGGATTCTTTTCCAGAAAACTATTCATAAATCACAGGATAATATTCCGTTATACCCTGGCAAAAATGTTAAGATCATAAGTAATTTTTTCAGGTAACGTAACATCCTTACCTAACCTAATAAATCTAACCGAAGTTTGATTTGATTGGGTTAGTTTAGGTTTAGTTAGGGTAGATTGTATTTGGTTAGGTTAGTTGAAAAACTTCTTTCACTGTTAGAAAAATTATGCCGGGCTTTAATGGAAAAGTACCATCAAGGGATCTATCATATATGGAAGGCTTCTGTCTCTGATAAACTATTCATAAATTGATCCTTTGTATATCAATGGTTGCCTGTACTGTACTAACACTGGATAATGAAAATCACAACAAATTAACAAAGAACAGACTTTCAAAATTAGATTATTTCTTAATTAAAAATCTTTCTCCCAATTACCAGCCTTAAATGATATTATATTTTCTCCACAGCACCTACTCCTTGGACACAGATCACAGTGCGAGGCACTAAGTGTGTCGAGTCACCAGTTAATGGCTGGTACTTCTCAGAAGGAAAACACAGCTGCCTTAATGATTTTGACTCTACCGGCATCAAGACGACCAGTCATGCTGATAATATTTACTACACGTTTCAGGTAACATTTTAGGTTAAATCTTGGATAAAAACCTTAAAATTATGAGATAAATGTGTTGTGATTTCATTGATTGCATATATATATATATATATATATATATATATATATATATATATATATATATATATATATATATATATATATATATATATATATATATATATATATATATATATATATATATATATATATATATATATATATATATATATATATATATATATATATATATATATATATATATATATATATATATATTATTTTTATTTATTTTTTGTATCTTGGTATCATTGTCTAACCCACACAGGTTCACTCAAGAGACTAAACTTGAGATTATATCTGCTAAGAGTGTGAGTGTTAAGTGGACACAACACCCACCTTAAGGGTCACTAGTCTGTGTCCCCAGTTCACCCCAATATGAATGGATATCTGACTCAAGAGGTTGGAGAAGTGAAAGTGGTCAAGTGCAGTTCTGACTACATTGGCTAATTTTTATACTGCACTGTATTGTAGATCCTGAAGGCTTAGTACTGTATTCAGTGTGCTGTATTTACACTACCCTTATTGGACTGCCACGTCTACAAGACCCACTTTCACTTTTCTTTATTCTGATGATTTTTTCTTAAGCTCTATAATGATATTAACCTTCAATCCACAGGTTCCTCAGGTAAAGGGCAGTTCAGTATCAGGCTTCTCCCGATGGCAGTGGAGACTGTACGGTGTGCTGCGTCTACGACTGCTGCTAAATGATGGTAGGTACTGAGGTATATCAACCTGTAGATTTGGAACTATCTTGTTAGGTAGTAATTTTATATAAGTTGTCATTACTAAGGTGAAGAACAAAAAATTAATATATATACTATATATAAACTACACCCATGATGTGGTTCATGGACATACTTAATGTAAACAATTGAATGTTTTCTTAAGCATGTACTTGATGTTGGTTATTATGACAATCAAAATTTCTTATTGCAGGTCACTTATCGAGGCACAGTAATAGCTTGGTCCTTAAGTCTCGCCTTGGGTACATAAGTGACGACGACCCTTATAACCCAACGCTGATTGACACAAACTACCAAAAACGGAAACTATATTGTAGTTTTATAGAGAAACACAAGTTTGATGGAGAGACATACAACTGTTCTCCTCAGGTGGTGTTCGTCCTGTACTCGCTATACCACGACCGCTACCTCATCAACATGATGATTCCTCACCACAGAGACGACACCAACGAATGGATTAATCGAAATTTTGGTCGTGTTAAGGATGCGTATATATCAGTGAGTTGCTTGGTGGCTTCTTTCAGTAAGAATGAACTAATGGGCAATAAATATAAGACGACTTGGGATTTAAAGGTCAGAAATACATTTCAAGTTATGTTGTCAAAACAAATGCTTAATGCAAGTGATATTGCTGCCAGAATATTAACATTGTGAAATGCCTAACTGAAGAGAAATTAGGAAATAAATGAGAGATTACAGTAATTGTGTCAGCCATAGTTGATCATTATATAGTATGATGATTGTTATTGCCAGAAGAATCTAATATTCATTATTCTCTTTCAACAGTTTTTCAGTCAGGCCGGCTGGTACACAGTGATGCTGGTGTCGCTACAGACAATCTTCTTGCCTATCTTGGCCGTTGTCTTGTGGAGGTTCCGGAAATGTGTGAGTGACCTTGAGCGACCTCCCACCCACCTTGAGTGTGTCTTGGCACTTTTGGCTGTTGCTATCACTATCATGAACTGTAAGTCTGTGTCTCTTTTATACAGTATATACAATATTTATGCATTGTTCAGTCACAGTGTAGCATTTCCTCTGAACTCATTGGTGTTTATATGTCCTCCCCAAATCTTTTACTGAGTTTACCCAGCTGTTAATGAGTACAGAACCTGACTTTACACTTGGAATATATGATAGATGGTTGAGTATAGTGTTGGCCATATTGTCTCCTTATGTATGAAAGGGTTACTATTCAGTGTACTGTGTGTGCACTGACTCTAATAACCTGCCGACCTGTGGCACCCACTTTCTGATGCCCTTTAGGAGGAAACAGGAGGTATGATTCAGTGCTGATAATGGCTCCCATTAATTTTCAGCAGTTTGCTCACTGATGCACAGTAGCCTTGCAATGTGAGTTTTATTGCTGCTAATTGATTTAGCAAAGTATCCTAGTTACAGTTATTAAAGTACAGTAATCACATTGTTGATTATAAGTTTTAGGAAAGAATTTGTATCAGTTTGACTTGAACAGGTAGTGTTTGACCTGGAGGCCACACTACCATTATTCACAATTGATGGTGAACTTATTGTGAGAAGGAGTCTATTCTACATATGCTTCTCTCACAACCTAGTTTAATCTAAAAAAAATCTTTTTCCTAGAGATTATTTATTTGTGAGTTAATTTTTGTTTAGTAATTAGCTTGCATTGCCTGGCTATGCAGGTACAGGTGTCCCTTGATGCATTGTTGAAAAACTGATCATAACTTTAAATCTTTATTAAATTGACACAGACTTTCCCTTTGCCTTTCACACTATAATGGGAGGTGCTCTGCTGTGCTGTGCTTTGCCTTCATATGAAAAAAATCTTCCCCAATACTGTACTGTACATATCAAAAAGACACTGAAGATATATTCAAGGATTTTTCCTGTGGTAAACAATAATTTTATTCTGAATTATTATATAATGGTACTGTAATTAAGTTCATACAACAGTATACAGTACAGTAGTCAATATTAAAATATACTTCAGATAAACTGGGGTGGTCATTGCTCTAGGTGATGGTGCAGCAGTGTGTTGAAAGATGAGGTTAGTAATAGGTACATGAAAAATTACATAATTCTAGTATATTTTTACCACTGCAGTACCAGTACTTCAGATTAATATTACTGTAACTTGCCTTTGAGTTTGGTACTGTAGAGGGTCACAAGGATTGGAGTTTTCTACACCAGCACTTGACCAGAACTGTTGTGTGAACCTGTTTGACCTACCCTGGGATTGAACGCTGGCCAGTAGAGCAGCACACTGATGCTTTAATCACTACATTACCTGTCTTTTAGAACCAACCAAGTATGTTTGAAGAGATGATGCTTCCTCACCACAAACAGCTCTGTCTTTTAATCCCTTGGGTGCGAGGGGTCTCTCTGTGCTGAAGAAAATTGTCTGCCTTTTGCCAATTAAAGCATTAAAAGTGACATCCAGTAGTGAATGGGTTAAAAAGAGGTAAGAAAGAAGCACAGCACACACACACACCATCACCTGCTTCAGCCACCTCAATATTTATAACTTTGTTTCTTATTGTTAAAGCAGTCCTTGATTGTAATGCCAAATACACACGACAAGATGAGATTAGAATAAGATAAGTCTGTTCACAGTACTAATGTATCTCTGAGTTAGAGAGTATTTTAGTTGTCTCTACCTTATGTGGCTACTCACTCACTGATTTATCTGCTCCTAAAAGGCCTCACTCTCATCAACAGCATATAAAACTAAGTCCCCCCCCTCTCCCCACACACACACACACACACACACACACACACACACACACACACACACACACACACATACATACATTTACACTGGTTGTAAAAGCTTCATATATCCAACCTAACCAGTTACTTAATTGTGAGTTTTCCACACATGAAGTGAGAGGAAATGCTTGGTATCTTCTCTCCTTGAAGGTTCATAGTTACAAATCATGGACAAAAAACTAATACCATCTCCTTAAACTCATGATCTAATATAGCATTGAACGTGAAATTTTGGTTTATGACCGAGGCTCCATAAAATGACTCACCTCTCACCCTCCTCCCGTAAGTGCTTCCCCGGCGTCAGCTGAAGGTGAGCTGGCTGGTGTACATCATTTGTAACTAAGGTGGGATTGAACGGATCACTCATGCTGTTTGTGAAATCTGAATCATTAACTCCCAGAACTGTACTTTCTTTCTTACACTTTCTTAGAGCCTGTGATGCTGGCAGCAGATGGTTAAGGATTATTGCCCCTGCTGCCATGGGGTCAGGGCCTCCCTGGGTCCTGAGACCAAACCCTTCATCTGGTATATTTATGAATTTATGAGTCATTGTATGTAAGATCAGTTATAAACCAGGATCAATCACACACACACACAAATTTAAAAGTATATATACTGTATATATGAACTATTGTAAGTGTAGAGTTCTCAGATGTTTTTATGGCATTGCAGGTCCCTTGGAGTTTGTAGCGCTCATTGTCAACTATCCATGGCTGATAGTAGTGAATGATATTCGACATAACTTTTTCTATGCTTCGTTCATGACTTTCTTCCTGTACCTTACTGATAAACATCTTAAGGTAAGAAAGTTACGGACACATAGAAGTGCATGACAAGTATTGAGAGGGAGCCATGTACTGTATGTGCCTGGTGATACAAGCATGGTCTTGTATACTATGTATACTATATATGAGAGCAGTAACTACACACACACACACACACACACTGTGTGTGTTTTTGTGCGTTATAGTTTGTGTGTGTGCACAAAGTATTGTGCTAGGTAGGGTGTATGTTTCTGCATCAACATGCATGCATAAATGCATACCTGAGAACAGATGCCCCTCCAAATGTGTCAGCATGCATCTACACATCAGCATGTGTGTAAACACACACATACACAAACACACACACATGTATGCTGTAACAAGTGTATAAAAAATGGATCGCTTTTAATTTCTTGTAATATTTAAAGAAACTGTTTATGAGGCAGCAAAAATTATTCAGTTGAATTTGGGTTGTGTACATGTCTTATAACATTACAGTACTCTTAACACAATTAAATTATTTAAATATAGTGTACCTGTACAGCATTTCTTTCCCACCTCAAACAAAGCTGCCATAAACTTACATATAACTCCACCATTCCTCTCACTCCTGCCCTGCCTTCCTCAACCACCCAATTCTAACTGTGTCACTGAATATATTAATAAGTATTTGACTGTAGTACTGTACAGGGCTTGGTTTTGTTATCTTAAGTTGGTATTATACATTGAAGACGTGTCAGCCATAGTAAGTGATATTATAAAATTTCACTGATGATCAGTCCCTTTCATGAATGTGTCTGCCAAGTGAGGTCTGACAATGTGCGAAGTTAGGTCTTACAGTGGGGTGCAAATTTCATGATTTGATTTTACAAGCTAACAAGTGACTCATAACTTGTATGCCGTGAACTTTGGAAACGAGAAGCCAAAGTATCAGGTAATCTACTCCAAATAAAGTTATGGACTTATTTGTTTTTTAACCCTTTCATTATGGGGATGCCACTTTTAGTTTTTAATATGACTACTGCCAGATGATTTTATCCAGCTGAGAGGGGAACCCATACACAAGGGATTAACCACATACTGTATGCTGTGTTATGAATCATTGCTCACTTTTATATTTCTACTACACTCTTCTCATTTCTCTTGTATACTATAGTGACACTATTGACAATTTTCATTGTCCAGCAGCCAAATGGCAATACTGTACTACAGTATTTTTTTTATTTGTTGGTATTATTCGTATTGATTATTCATGTTTATTGGTATACTGTATATTATTTTATCTCAATTCTCTTATGAATTAGTATCTGGTGGGAATTCAGTTTCAGAGATGGTAACACTGTTCACAACCAAGATGGGTTAGTGTTGTCTTGCTACAAATTATGTCTTGGGTTATACTTAGTATTTCTCAAAAGCTAGGGATGAATTATAAGTTGACTTAACAATGGGAAAAAGGGAATAGTTCTAATCCTTTGTTATTCTGTATTATTGTGATGTGGGTTGGGTCTGGCGACTGCTGCATCACTCCATAGGAATAACAATGGTCCATAAGATACGCAAGATATGTTAAATAATTCATTCGGGCACGTCATTACTCAGGTGTGCAGTACTTGGGGTGTTTACTCTATTACCTGTACAGCTCTGTACTGTGCTATGATTCTTTTTTCTTATAATTGTTTTATTATTATGATTTACATTTTCTCTTTCCAGCCTGGTGTATCATGTCCACATGCAAAAGAAGCCATAAACATGAGCATCAGGATTGGCAATCTGGCAATCTTGATCGTGGACATAATAGAACACATCGTCATCATTCTGCATCCATTGGCTGTAACTTTTGAGAGTATGCACTTCAGCATGTCTATGCTCTTTTTCTCTATGCTGGGTTGCTACCTCACCTGCATCACTGTCAGGACCTGCTCGGTGAGGAGCTGTTTTCTTTTCCCTTGCTTTCTTATATGCAAACTGGAAGAAATCTTAACAGAAAGGTTTCTACACTGTACAGTACAGTACTGCACCATATTTGACCTACAGTACTGTACTGTACTTCACCGCTGGAAAGATAGGCTAGGATTACTGTACAGTGGTGTGCTTTTATTACCAGTAATTTTGATTGTTAATTTACCTGTAAGTGAAGACAGCATCTTAACACAATAACACTCTTTGTCTTTATTTCTGTATTTAAATAAAAATTAATGTTTTATAATGGTTGGTGTACTGTACAGTATTCTGTATTTTAAATTTACTTATACCATCCTCTCATTACCCTTTCCCTTTGATGGTGGCTTCATAGACTATATACCCTTTGAGGATTATGCTCATGGAGAATGCTGTGGTTATGGAAGCTGTGGGGATAAAAGTTATCATACTCTATTTAACCCCTTATGTATGGGGTCCCCTCTGAGCTGAATAAATTTGTCTTGTGTTAACCAAATAAAATATTAAAAGCATTGTCCCTATAATGAAGGGGTTAATAATCTCTGGGAAAAACTCTGATGTGTTCCGAGTACAGTACTAAATTTCTGCTGTCAGCCATCTAGATTTATGAATAGAAACCTTAAATATGGTATCCTGTTTTAGTAAAGCTTTTGAACTTCTTGATTATATGCCTGATATGTGAACAATATTTCAAAACGATCTTAAGCAGAGCAACGATGACATGTAACAGTGGTGTAGTGGGAATCAGTCTAGTTGTTGTCTATATAGTGTTAGAAGGTAAGTATATGTTGACTTTAATATGTATGACTGACTAATTCCGTTCATCTTCACATGATTATCAGATCAAGAGTGTTGATCTTCCCTTGACTATATCAGGAGTTATGTTAGATCTTCACATGACTCAGGAGTCATGTTAGAGACTTGAATTCCCATTAATATCCCATTTCATCTATTCCTATTGTCTCTACTCTCAAAATGGCTACTATTCCCATCTGGTCTACTCCTATTTGGTTAAGGTTAGGTTACTTTAGGTTTGGCTAGGTTACTTTAGATTTGGTAAAATACCTTTGAGAGATCATAACTGATAGTAGACATATGATGAATATGTGACATTTTCAGGGTAGACATAATGGGAATAGATGAAATGGCAACTCATGTATAGACAAAATGGGAAATTGGCAGTAGCCCAAATAGGAGTAAACAAAGTGATCATAAACCAAATTCCCACCCACCTCCTCTGAAGGAAGCCCCAAATTGGCAGGAAATCTATGGTTGAATTATTTTGTCCCATGTGATCAAGTGAACGAGAAGTGTGTTGACTGCAGCCTGATTAGTCCTACAGGCACTAATATAATCAATGAAATCATTTGAATTTGACATGATGAGATGGCTGCCCACCTCTTACTGCTTTAGGTCATCATAATTCATTATATTCATGTCCTTCCTGTGTTTGTGAGGCAGTGGTATATGTTGTACATCTTTTACTTATCTTCTCCAGCAAAAAATGGGATTTTATACCTGTATCCACTGTTTTCTCAAGATAAACTGTCATTACATGTACGGTATTCCCTTTCTTGTTACATCACAGGCTTTGACTGCCATCATAAAGAAAGGTCTTGTACATGAGGAGGAAACAAGATGTCAGGAAATGGTAGTCCTTATCATCACCTGGATCTGCTTCTTTATGACTGCTGCAGATTTTATCATCAAACGTGTAAGTATCTGTGACACATTCTGACACTACAGACGATAAATATATCAAAATGCCATATATTGTTTGCTAGCAGTATTTCTTGTTTTATCCATAGTAAATACTGTATTGTTATTCTATGCACATTCAGAAGAAAATAGATTAATCTTGTGAACAATGTGTAGTGTGGGTCATGTTGGTGGTTACCTTGTGGCATAGGTGTACTGCATTGATCATTTAGGAAATCATTGGACCCAATGTACAGTACTGTACTGTTGTTCAGTATTCCTGCAGGTTTGTTTGTAAGGTTTCACGATTATGTTAGAATGAGGGTGAACGTATAGTCTTCATTACTGATACCATAAACCATAGTGAAAATGTATCAGTCAAATAGACAGCTATATTTTCAATATAATTAATGGCATGAGGTAGACTGTACTGTACATGCTTATGGATTAGAAGGTGAGGAAGGAAGACATTCACCACCTCCTACCTGCCTTCCTATTACACTACCTGTAGAGACAAAATCATACCGCCTGTTTGATTACTAATATTTCAATAAATAAAGTTAAGTCCTTAAATGAAGCTGAGTAATGGTGGATAGGTAGAGTGAATATGAAGTGTCATCAGATACTGTATGTGCAGACATACCACAGTGATCTGGTAGGAGTGTCTGCAGGTGCCGCTGCTCTATAATAGTATAACTTATGCAGGATGTACACAGATAAATTGCTGCCAGTAGCTACAGGTACTTTGTGAGAAAAATTTTAATTAGTCCCCTGCTAGATTTTTATCCATTAGCCGAAACAATTGGTGCATAGTATTTCCGGAAATGAGAGATTTCCGGGTAACGAGACGACTCTCTCAAAGCTGGAAAAACTCCCACATCCCTGGAATTTTCCGTGTACAGGTACTGGAAAAATTTTCTCAAAATTTTCAAGATAACGTACTACTCAGAAAATTAAAATTTTGACAATCGGATAGTTCTAGTTATGAGGGATTCCAGCTACGTAACGGAGATATTTCTGTACTGTACTGTACTTTATTACTGTACTATAGTTTACTTGTATACTGTACTGTAATGCATATATTTTTTATCAACAGCTACATGATGGCATGTGGATGTGGGACTACCGTTTAGGGGAGTTGGAAATCAAAAACACAGGAGGATATCAGCTAGGTGTTTACTGCATGTGGAATGTCTTCACCTGTGTTTTATTAGTAGTCTACACACCTCTCAGAAAACCACCACAACCACAAGGTCAGTCAATGTATCTGAATACTTTCTCAACAATAATGTGTTCTTGCTGTGTCTTCTGTCACATTTTCCTTACTCTAGTTGTACAAGTGTAATTTAACAATTACATCTTGAATGGCAGTTTTAAGTTTATAAACATGGTTGAGCAAAGTGAGGCAACTCCTTAGTACAGTATTAATCCCCAGAAACTGTTGTTAGATTTTCTATGATCAGTACTTCGTAGTGGCTGCACTCTAGCTGCCTAGTGACCATACTAAATGTGTAACTAATGTATAATTTTCTTATCTTTTCAGGCAGCTTGGAAATGGCTCGAGTTGTGGGCGTGCCTCTGCAAACCCGACAGTCTCCCTCCTTTGTAGACTTGAGAGTCACTACATTATGAAGTCCCACTCTAGTATAGGTAAGCTGAAATAGAAAATTTTCTACCGAGTTTCTCTATACAGGTATATCATTCTCTCAGCAACAGCAACTGTTCCTTAAAGGCAGAGTACAAATGAATGTTACACACATGACTGAGCTGTTGGTCCAGACTATTGGCTGGGCCTAGGGAAGGAATCATCAGACACGTTGACTTGGGGCTGTATTTTGCTCACACTTGGTTTGGAAGAAGTTAGGGCCCCAAGGTCCACTGAGTGACACTGTCATGTAAAGGATAGTTCCAAGACCTTGATCCTGGTTCTTGTCCTCATAGGTTCAAATTAATGAATTATTCCTTCCTCACATTGTGTCATAGTCATTTACTTTTTATGCTTGCACAAAGAACTTAATAAATGACTATTGTGGTAATGGATAAATTCAGCATTAGCCTCCTGTCCTTAGGGTTGCCATTTCATGCCTGGGGCACTCCCAGTCCACTGAGCTGTGAGTGGGTGTCAGACATTATAATTACTATGATGGTCAAGCTCTGGCAGAGGAGGTTGTAAATATGATGGCTCCAGGTGAGACTTAAGAGAATAAACAATTATCAGATGATGGGTAATCTCTGCTTACCTCATCTTCCCTTTGACATAGTCTTGATTATCATCATCTCAGTTGTTAGTGCTGTTTAATTCCAGTTAACATTACCTGTGTTGATAATGTGTCTTACAGGTATTTGGCTCTAACATTATAATTAATATCGTAAACGATTTATCCCAACAGGATCATCATAGCTATCGTGCCCTTCTATAGTAATTCACAAGTGGATTTGTGACCATTTTGATACAAGTTAATGGTTCATTAATGTTGTTGAGCCACTGTTCCTCCACATCAATGCCAGAATGACAAGAGTTTGCAAGAGGAGCATAACGTAAAGACTTGTGGCAGCTTGTTTACTATTAATATGCATATCAGATGAGAGATCACTTGGTTCTTTCTGATATGGTGAAGCTGTTTGTTGGGTCAGGAGTTAAATCATCCCTAAGGTATGTGCTAGTGTCCTCATAGTTTAAACCAAAGAGTATATTTTGGACAATCTAAACACACTCTTCAAGTTTCACGTCCCATCGGTGAATTGTTTCTTTATCGTATATTATAACTGCCGTCAGACTTTATTTTTTGCTTAATTATGAAAGTTTTATCCAGTTACTTAAGTTTCTAATATTTATCAACTTCTAATGATTTTAACTGTATTCTGTAGGATATAATTTATACTGATATGTTTAACAGTATTATCCATACAGTATTGTTGTTACACCCGAGCCCCATCTTAACTCCTCATTAACTTAAAAGAAAGAAACATAATTACGCGGCAGCTCTTGTGTTACCATGAGGTACACCCTCTCCAAAAAGTATCTTTACCGAGAGGTCCGATGAATTTTCAAAATGAACACCGCGACTTCTGTTGTCTCGGTAGGGTTGTCAGAATTCTTCGTCCATTGTGTCCTATTGTCTCGCACAAAATAGTGAAGATACTTTTTGGAGAGAGTACAGGTATACAGTATTATATAAAGTAATTACTGTAGTTAGTATCATAAACGACAACATCACCAACCTTTCATCTTCTCTCCAGTATTAACTTCTTTACATGTCCAAATATTTCCAGCCACTGAATACAGTGGCTAGTTTGTCATACAGTATTAGGATTTGCATAACATATTTTGGAGATGTTAGTTTGTTACTGGTGTTCTACAAGGTGTGATGGTATTTTTTACTCAAGCCACATTTGATGAAGCCCAGTTGATTATGTAGGTACAGTATATAATGTAGATGATATTTATACAGAGCTTTAGTTTTTCATCCAATGCCTCCACCTGGTTATTGCTCACTCTGGGGGTTGTCATATGAAACTTAAGATGAATCAGTGTTGTGTGTCCTCGGTGATTACTCCGATTGAAAATTATATCATTGACGATGGTTTGTAACACAAGTACCGCGTACAAAGAGTCCCAGTCTGGAGCTACGACAGCTAGATGGGTTCTGTATCTCGGCAGTCACGTTTTCCATGCATATTAGATCAAACTCAGGTCATCAATTTTATACTTATACTGTATTTTGTCATTGTCTGCCACTGAGTATTGAGAGGAGATGCAGATCACAGGACTTATTCTTTTATTTTTTGCTTCCTGGGGCATGATGTAGGAATCCAATGACTGCTTTTGCTGCCAGCCCCACCACTGCCAAGAACTGGCATGTATTCTCGCTCCTTGGAGTACTGTAGAAAAGTTGTTAAAATGCCTTGGCAGTGTTAATAACTATAGATAGTGCAGATAGCTGTACTATTGTATCTGCTGTATTTTGGATGAGTCCAAATTTTATGTGGTGCTGAACCTTTTTTTAAGTATAGTAGTGAACCTTTTTTAACTGTAGTAGTCCATAACTCACCTGTAATTAAGAGAATCACAGCTCTACCTAGGCAGCACATTTAATTTTAGTTGATGATAATTTTGCTCTGGAGTTCTTCAGTGAAGGTCCTCGTCGGGCACTGGTATTAAGAGGTAGCGGGACAAAGTGGTGATCTCACTAGCTAGGGCTTAATATACGTTGATCCACTTGTTTCCATATCTCTGCCTGTTATCACATCTTAGGTAACTGTAGTTTCAGGATGTTTAAACTTGTTAGAATCATTCATTGGGTCATTAGGCCAACATTTTCCTTGTAATTACTAGTACTGTACTTTACTTCTTTTTTCTGTAGTACTGTATGCTTTTCATGTTAAAACTGTTACCTGTTGATATTCTTCATATTATATTAGAGGATTTCACCTGTCTTACCAAAGCTTTGTCTTAGTGTAAAAAAAATGGTCAAGTTATATTTCAATTAAGTTATTTTGTCTGTGTTTGGCAAGAGTTGTTGCTCTGCCTCCAGGATGACACTAAACCTTAGTGAGAAGGAAGTGAGTGTTCTGATGGTGGTGTACAGAAGCTTCACTGTCTGTACACAATGATCTTTTGTGCTGTGTTACTGTACTTAAAGAACATTGTATAGTGCTGACCAATTCACTCTTTCTTGTCTATAACTAACCCTCTGATATTATGTAAAGATGTTACAACTTGTTGATGACTCTTGGCTTTAGTACAACTTGTTTCTTCTGAAACTCATACGAGGTACAGGTATGGATATTGTAGATCAGGGATTGATCGTATCGTTGTTGATGGTTTTTGTGTACAGTATACAGGTAGTGTATCAATTATCTGTTTCTTTCAACTCCAGCCATTCTAACCCTTTTGATGTCATAAGAGATTTGAAGGGAGATCCACAAGAGGTTTATATTGTCAACCCAACATGTAAATGTTAATATTTTTATTTAGTTTTCACTTCATATGACTATGAAGTTTATATACAGTATTTCACACACGAATTTCATGAAAAAATAGACATTATTGCAAAATGAATTGACTTTCTTATGGTATTTTCAATCATTGATCAGTTCAGAGACATCATCATCATCATCAATAATGTTTTACAGCTATTTTCCACACTTGTTTGGGTTAGCTGTTCATAACTTAGAACTTAATTTACATTGAAAGGGAATCCCAAATTGACAAGTTGTGAAAGCAATTGTGATTGTTTTCCATAAGAAATGTCCTTAATTAGGTCATTAGTGTCATCCATTATGTTATTAAGGAAGAATTTCTTCATCCTTGGGATCAGTCTCCCATTACTGTATAGCTTTTTTGTTAATAATTATTCCACTTGTATTGTTTTTTTAGTTAACAGTTTATGATCACATGTTTTTAATAACAAAATCATATATATATATATTTCAGTCTGGGAACTGTATCCTCTAACCATACGCATATTTCCCATACTTTATATAATATATTCTATTATGTACAGTAGGGGACAAAAGTTCGCTCCTGTGCTGAAACTGAGTCAAGGGAATGAGTCTTCGTACTTACTCTACTGTCGTATGGTGCGGTTGTGCTGTTTTATCTAATTTGGGGTTGATACTGCTTCATTTAGGGAAGGAGCAAACTTTGACCTCAACTGTATATGTACAGTATACTCTAGGCTTAATACCGTATGGTATATTGTATTGCCAAAATTCTTAAAATTCTCAATTCTGGTTTGTTTCTTGTGTGAAGTTTAAGAGATACTGTGCTGACTACACTACACTACACTACCTGTACAGTATTATGCCTGTCTGGCTCTGTAGTGGAAAGCTTCTGTTTAAAGAAGTCTTGCTTTTTTTGAATTTTGCATAGTTTATCTCTCAGTACTCATATATTTTTGCCTCAACATGAAACGATGAGGCTATATTATGAGAGTGTCCAGATGTCTGTCAGTTTAGTCATTAGTCTGTCTCTAGAAATATATATTGTTATGATAATTCCAAACCTTTATATTAGATTTTGTTGAAACTCTGTAGGATTGTTCTCCTTAATAAAATCTCAGATGGGATTACATTTAAGTGACATTGTGTGACCTTTCTGGGGTTTCAGGATAGTAGTGAGAAGATATCATATTTTACATTGTGGTTTGTTGGTCGTGTTGAGACATAAACCAATATGTTTTAGTACTTGTTAAAGATAGGGAAGCTTAATACCTTTCAATGGTTGTTAACACCCTTTGATTAGTGGCATCGATGTTGTTGTTGTTGTTGTTGTTGTAGTACTGAGGTGAAATAAAAGTCCCAGCGTAGGTAATCCAGAAATGTTTACTTATATTCCCTAAAAATATCTTTTACTATTGTTGTTTATATTCTCAGTTGTTCCTCTCTCTCTCTCTCTCTCTCATCATTTTGTATCGATATTCTTATGTATTTAACGGCTTTACGTCATCATCATTATGCATGTCTTATTCTCTCCTGATAACTATTATTGACCAAGCAAATCCAGGTATATAGTGAAACCTCCTTATAATGGACTTTCCTTTCCATATACTGAAGTCCATTAAGTAGAGGTTCTACTGTACTGAACATATTTTATAATGGTGAGACTTGTAGTAAGCACTGCACCCATACGCCTCTGATGGTTGTCTCAGGTACAGTACCAGTGGTTCAACCAGGTTAGAGACAAGTCCACAGCTCACCTGCCCAAGCCTATTATGGTATTACCATTGAGGAAGACCATAATAAAATACAATTCCCTGCTGTCTGCCAGACCATTAAGACCTTCCTGTGGTAATTGTTTTCACAGCTAATGCAATCAGATTGGATAACACTTGTACTGCATAAATAATCTTGTAGGTTGGACCAGGGCAACAGTAATGACTTTGTAGGCCCAAGGTAGAGTCAGAATCAAAAGTATGCCAAAAATTCCAAGCTAGCATTATGTTTCCATTCTTAACAAAAATGATGCTCATTCCACCTACAGTTGACTTGGAGTCCAGTCACAACAAGACAATGTCTCCACACAATGATGGAAGGATGGAACATCATCAATGTTATGTGACGAGAAACATGATGCTGGCTGGGGATTTTTGGCAAACTTTTGATTTATGACTGTACATATTTATTATAGATCCCATATAAGAGACATCATTTTTGGGGAGGACAAAGGGGAACTTGCTTCAAGAATCAAACAATATTAAAATGGTCAGCAGAAAGTTGATAAAGAACAGTAGATAAAAGAATGTATTCATATTCATACTGACACAAAAATACATAGATACAATTGTGGAGAAAATTTAAATATACGCAAGACATCCTTTTACACTTGTTGTTAGCAAGCATGTCAATGATGTTTTCACAATTCATAGATAAAAGAAAAGTCATATTTACTGGAAGGAAGTGACACCACAACGACCAACACTGCCACCACAACTACCAACACTGCCACCACCACTACCAACAATATCACCACCACCAATACCATCCCATCACTACCGTAATTACCAACACCACCACCATGATTACCAACACCACCACCACCAACTTCATTATCAACAGCAACAACACCAACAACACCACCATCATTATTACCAGCACTACCACAATTACCACCACCCCTATCACCACAATCATCATCATCACCACACAACCGACCGCTTGGGTGGGAACATTGATTTCTTGTGATGTCTGATACCTGGTTGAGGGGCAAGTTGGCCTCGGACGGTCTTAAAGCAGCACAGCTGGCCCATGCACGCCCCCCTCACTCTCTTTACTCCCAGTGAAGAAGAGAGAGAGAGGAAGGGGGAGGAGAAAGAGAAAGTAAAGTGGTCTCTAAGATCATATATTTCATCTCACCTAAATTAACCTAACATGACCTAAACTAGACTAACCCTAACCGAAACTAAACTAAACTTAACCTAACCTAACCTCACCTCTTTCTAAACCTGGTTGTGTTAATGTCAATATTTTTTTACATCTCTAATTTTGAATTGTTTTCATCTTCCACACCACCTCTTATGATTTGTTTGTATGCCTTTGCTGTTTACTCTCCCTCTTTCTCTTTGTTCGTTTATCACCCTTCCTGCTGCTACTCCTTATTTGTACTTCATTCTTCTACTTACCCTTCCTCTTGTTCCTTTTTTTCCTTCCCCCTCCCCCTGTACCTTCTTTTTCTTCCTCCTCCTTTCCCTTCATCCTTTTATTTTTCTCCTGTTCCCTTTCTCTCCTCTTCCTTCTTTCCTTCCCTCCCTCTACCTTCTTTCCTTCCTTTTTCCTCCTTCCTCCTTCCTCTTCCTCTTCCCCTTCCCTCCTCCCTCCCATTCCATGCTCCTTCCCCTTTCACTCCCTACCCCACCTCCTCCTCGCCGTGATGTGGGACAAATTAGGTCACGTTCCAGTTTATTGACGTAAACACAACGGGTTCATTTCCTTGACTGGTCGACTCGTGATCAGCTGAACCAGCCTTTGTTGACATCCCGTCCTGTCTCCACCATCATCACCCTCTCTTTTACCCACTGGTTTATTGTCTATTCTCTTTGTCTTCACGTCTCTCAGGTCTCCTACATCATCATCTCAATTTATCCTGTTATTCTGTTTTTATTCTTTTTTTCTTTGTCTTATTTTACATATTACTGTCACTTTCAATTTATCTTCTTGTTGCTTCTTTCCCCCTCCATCATCATCGTTTCTCCCAATTCCATATTCTAGCGTTATTCTCTTTACTTTATTTTTTTTTTAAACGAGCGAATTATAATTAATTTTATTTTTACTCTCTCTCCCTCTTCATTTCATATCAATTCATTTGTTGATCTCAGTTGTGAGTGCGCAAGTGTGTGTGTGTAGACGTGCATGGTAACAGTTCATTGTTAATATTTAACTCTGTTAAGAGTGACCTTCTGGTGTTGCCAAAGGTATATTTGGAATCATTATTGTGTTTTCTTTCTTTCTATTCACGTATATTCTTTATGCTTACTCATACATCTCTCTCTGTACCTTACTTCTTACTCTACGATAGTCTGTACTGCATGACGTTTCTCATCTATCTCTACTCTTGACACACAAGTTGATATCTGTGTTGGAGAAACTTCAATATCTCGCCAGTCATCCAAGATTCAGTCAGAGCTATTATCCTTATCGTTTTTTAATGGTGCTACGTCATTAATAACCCCAGTAAAAGTAATTCTGAAGTCTTTCCCAAGCCTCGTTTTTCCTCCAAGCCGTTTCTGTCTGCTAGGCTAGGATGGGTTTAGTTCTGGAAAGTTATTTAAGCGCATACACCACCTCCCCTTGTTCCTTTTAAGGTGTTGTAAGTTGGAACAGACAAGTAAACATTCAGACAGATGGGCAAACACAGAGAGATAGGCAGGCGTCTAGCCTAAAGACAGACTAAGAAATATACGCAGTCAGAAAATAGCGTACTGACAGACAACATACAGGCAATACAAAGACAACAGCATACAGACGGACACACAACATGGAGACATAAACAAGAGAACTGCCTGGAGGTATGACTCGGGTGTGTGCTGGACAAATATTGTTGCATTTGGAACAGCTTGTGTTATGTGGCAGGCTGGAGCATACGTGATGTAGGGTAGGGGCTCTGAGGGTGTTCCTCCTGCTGTCACACACACACACACTACCTCACCACCACCACATTGCACCTCACCACCACTCCACACACAATCAACATACCGCCATCACATCACCACACACTATACGTATACCCTGTATGTAATAAAATACCAATCATAAATCTGGCAAAAAAAAAATTTAAACTGAAATTAATAAACCTTTTAAACCCCAAATCTCTCGATATTGACAAAAGATGGAACTTCTTAAAAAATCCCTAAATTCACGTATGACATTGTCGCTCTGAAGAGTTTAAATGGGATTTGTCTTATCAAACACTCCAACTGTTAATTAATATGGATGCATATACGTACGAGATCCCGTGATAGCAATAACAAAAAGATTATATTGGATAAACAGACCAAGACCTGAAGCACAACAACGTAATAATTGTATTGGGCAGGAATATAATGCTTTGTTTGTTCGTATGAGAGAATCCAATCACTGCAGAGAATGGAATTATACTTGTTCAATAGCAATAGTATGCATGAACATGCAGGTATCTACGTACCAAAATATAATCTTTTCCCTGTAAACACCTGCACCATTAAACACGTTGATTCATTAAGCTCAGGTGCTATCGAACAGTGACGTCATCAAGTGAACATCCAGCACAGTTTTACAACCTTTTGGAGACCAGAAATGCGTATTGTTGATAAATGCTTCAAGATGTCAATTGTTAACATATTGAATACATAATACAATACCGTAGGCGTGATGAATCTCCCAAGCATTATATAAACGGTATCAAGTGACAAACTTAGGCAGAACCATTTAGGGGTTTGCAACAATACGTCATGATTTGTGCGTCAATCGTCTTGAGTCTCCTGTCTTAGCCTATATTGTTTGTGTAAATACTGTGATAATGGTGAAAAACAGGGTATTTTGGTGTGTATAGATATTTCTTATAATCAGGTGACTATAACTGAAAGTTGAACTTGGAATTGTATCAATAAACTTATTTATTAACTAGGTGGTAGGTAGTAGGCAGCTATCAAACAGGGAGGTACTACCGCCTGGGAAGATATCGGAAGCATAATGTGTTGTCTAATGGTAGACCCTGCTGCCATATGGCATCACGTAAATTGTGACCAAGTCCCAGGTTGCTGATCTGACTTTCTGCCTCATTTACACACAATTGCAGGGTCTCAATCGTTTCTCTTACTATTGACAATACAACAAACATACTGTATATCGTTTCCCACTCTTGATTTATTTATTTATTTTTTTATTTATGGTTATTATTTTTTATTATATTTTTATTCGTTTTTTTATTATTATTATTATTATTATAATTTCGCCCCGCAGGCCGTGATGTGGGTCAGTGACCTGTGCCCGGGTCGGTTAATCCCCGAAAAAAATATATAGATATATGGGTGCAACGGTGTCTTAAAACAGACGTAATTAAGGTGAAGAAGGCTGTGATATGTGAAAAACAGTTTAGTCGGAAACAAAAAGTTGAACTGTAAAATATGAATTATTAGGTTGTGATCCGGCCAAACATTACCGGGATCTGAATCAACTGCCATACTTGATATATATATATACAAAGATTTTTTTATCGGTTACCAGCGACTCGAGGATTTCTCACGCTGAAACACACACTGATGAAAGGAGTCTTTTCAACAATAAAGGTCGGTGTGATTTAGAACTATATTAGATAATTTATATTTCAAAAAGTTCAAG